ACGACAAAGTCTTGTAGCCGGCCGAATTGTCGACCAGCATGTCTATGTTAGGTAGAGGAAAAGCATCCTTCGGGCAAGCCCGGTTGAGGTCGGTATAGTCAACACACATTCTCCATTTTCCATTATTCTTTTTAACAAGTACAACATTTGACAGCCAGGTGGAGTACCGGGCTTCAGAAATAAAATTTGCCTCTAGGAGGTCTTTTACAGCTTTTTCAGCAGCCTCTGTTTTTTCTGGAGACTGCCTACGCCTACGTTGTACTACGGCCTTGGCGGCTGGATCAATGGCGAGGTGATGACAGGCGACCTCAGGGTCGAGTCCGGGCATCTCTGCAGCGCTCCAAGCGAAGAGATCAGCATTCTCGCGCAGACAGGCCTTGATTTGCTTCCTGGCCAAGTCGGGGAGGTCTTTGCCAATCTTCACTCCCTTGGTCGGGTCTGCTCCGAGGGGAACGAGTTCAAAATCACCGTCTGGAATAGGTCGGAGTGGGATTTGCTCGCTGCTGGATGGCTCGTCCTGGTCGAAGTGAGCGTCGAGGGCTATGGAGTCGACCTTTGGTGGAGCCTTCTGGACTTCTTCCTCGGGGGATGCTTTTCTGTCGGGCTCCTGCTTTGTCCTCTTGGTGGGTCTGGTCCCCACGTCGACGGTATCCCGTCCCTTTGAAGCGGCGTTGAAGCACCTGCGGGCAGCGGCGAGGTCTCCCTGGATGGTGGCTACCCGTGCCCTTTTGGTATAGAACTTCATTTTTAGATGGACAGTCGAGGGCACCGCTGTCAGCTCCGCCAATGTCGGTCTCCCCAAGATGCAATTGTATAGAGACGGGCAATCAATGACGAGGAAGCAGACCTTAACCTGTCTTGTAGCCGTTCCTTCTCCGAACGTCACCAGGAGCTCGACATAACCCCAAGGTTTGGAAGTCGAGCCGTTGAAACCTTGAAGATCCGAACCCACATACGGAGAGAGGTGTGAATCGTCCAGTTGCAAGTTCCGGAACAGCTGGCTGTACATCACGTCGACGGAACTCCCTTCGTCGACCAGGATGCGATGCACGTCAAAATTGGCCATTTTTGCCCTTATCAGCAAGGGGATGACCGCGTTCGGGGCTCTGCCGGGGAGTTCTTCCAGGTAGAAGGTGATGGGCTCTGACCTGCCCTTCACCCTTTCGAACGTCACAGTTTGTGGAGGAGCTATGTCGACCAGTTCGTCCAACTTCCTCTTGGTTGAATTGATGGTGAGGTCGTCGAACCCGCCCCCGTTGATGACCATGGCGGAGGGGAAGTATTCCCACCTGCTGTGTGTTGTCAGGGGCTCCTGCAGGAGCTCGGGAACGTCGAAATCCTCGGGCCTGGTTACCGAGAAGGCGGTCTGGATTGGTACCGACTCGTCTGATGGTCGGGCATCTTCTTCGGGCTCCTTGGTTTCATGGGCGTCACGACGGGGAGCGTCGTTTCGCCTGTACTGTGCGAGCCTCCCTCCCTTGATGAGGGTTTCAATGGCGTCCTTGAGGTGGACGCAGTCCTCTGTCAAATGACATGACTCCTATGGTATTGACAGTATTTATTTTTGTCTGCCCCTGGCTTGGCGGGAGCAGGTCGGGGACGCTTGACGCCACCGTCTCTGAAATCTGTACTAGCACACTCTTCCAAAATACGCTCGCGGGAAGCCGTGAGCGGAGTGTACTCGGTGAAACGGCCCGAGGGGCCCCTTTGTTCCCGGACCTCCCGGGGTCGATCTTCCTTCCTTTTCTCCCCGGTACGTCGGGGAGGAGGATCTTGTCGTGAGCTGCTGCTGTTGTTGGGAGCGCGAGCCCTGGAGTCTCGGGCCCTGTTGGCAGCTTCTCTCTCCTTGTAGTCCATGTATGCTCGGGCCTTGTCAAGGAGGGCATCAAAAGTTGGAGGTGGTTCAATACCCACAGCTTTTCTGAATTCTGTGTCGGGGAGGAGGCCCCTCTCCAGCAAATATCTTTTCATATGGTCCGCGCAGGGGACCTGTATTGCTTCCCGGTTGAAGCGGTTGATGAATTCCCTCAAGGTTTCATCCTGTCTTTGGATGATGGCCTCGAGGGCCGCCTCGGTCTTCGGGTGGCGCCGAGAAGCTGTGAAGGAACTGATGAACTGGTTCTTCAGGTTCCGCCATGACGTAATTGAGCCCGGGGCGAGTCCTTTATACCAGTCCATGGCCGCCTTCCTGAGAGTCGTGGGGAAAAGACGGCACTTGATGGGCCCCCCGACATTATGATAGTGGAGCATGGCTTCGAACCCGTCAATGTGGTCGACCGGGTCTGCTACTCCGTCATACTCCTTCAGGTGTGGGGGCTTCTCCATGCCCGGGGGATGGGTGCGTCCATGATGGCCTGCGACAGGGGACCGCGGGGGTCATCCTCGTCGCTCCTCTCCGGAGAAAGAGAAGGGTCCTGTAGTTATGTCTGGCACGATGATCGTGCTGAGATTCCCTCGAGCGTGATGCTCGGTGACTGAAGGTCACACGCCCGTCTCCGGCGTGCCTCTTGTCGTGCCTTGATGGGTCGCGACTGGGTTCTTCGGCAGGGATGACAGGCTGTCTCTCATGGTAGGGCCGCCTCTGCTTTGGCCGGGGAGAAGGGCTCCTGGAGTTCTCCCTATAGTGTCTTCGCGGGGGAGAAGGGTGTCGAGCTTCCGTGACCCGAGGAGGAGGAGAATGTGGCCTCCGATGCCTCCTCGGGGGTCGTCGATCATCTTCAAGTGCCCTTAATCTTTCTCCTTGGGCGAAGATGAGGTAATTTGTCTGATTAATAGCCGCGAACAATGCCTGAGTCGTGGCATCTGCCCCGGCGGGAACTGGGACTTCATAGAACCGGGCAGCTCTGCGATGAGCGAGAGCTACCGGGTCGTCTTCGAGCGCTGGAGGGGTCGTAGAGGATGATGCAGTAGCCCCGTCCCTGTAGGAGGAAGGTCCAGGGGCGGTTGTCACAGGGATGGCACTGTGGCCGGGATCACCGGGATTGTCGAGGTGTCCATTCTTGTCCGCGGGACCGTTGTTAGTGTCGGCGACACGGACGGGCTGCTCGTCGCGAGCTGGATCAGCCATGACAGGTAGTTGGATTGAGCTTTGGTCCTTAGAATTGTTCGTTAGACGGGGAAGCTGATTCCCACAGACGGCGCCACTGATCTGACCTGATCAGAAATGGACCGTCACAGCTGGCTCCGAGCAGAAAGCTTTTTTGAACGAGGTGGGGGGGGGGGGGGTACCTGCAAGGCACTCCGATGCTGAAGTAAGTAGGAGTACGAGCAGATAATAGCAAGTTGAGGTTAGAATGATGAATACCTGACCCTCTGGAAGCAGAGGGTATTTATAGCCCCCAGCGCTGGGCCAAGGTTCCTTCATTGGGCCGGGCAGGTTTGGCCCAATGGAGGAACTGCCAGGTTCTACGTGGGTAGTGGGGACCCGCACGTGGTCCCCTTCTTGGATGTTCTGCGTGAAGTGCGGGCGGACGGAGACGCGGTCTTTCCGGAGTATCGTTGGGGGAATAGTGGACTGAGTCTACCCTAGCTGGGATGCTCGAGGCAATGTCGAGCTGGACAGCAGGATGTCGAGCTGGACATCAGGACGTGGAGCTGGACCGCAGTATGTCGAGCTGGACATCAGGATGTGGAGCTGGACCGCAGTATGTCGGGCACGGCTGTGATCCTTTGGTCGGCGTGGTCCTCAGTAAGTCCATTTGGACTGGGCCTTAGCAATGCTTTTGGACCTGTCGGGCCCAGTCCAGAACACTTACATTCTCTAAATTAAAGAGTTGTAAAAAATCTTCCCACCATCTCTAACTTTCACCTTTTTATTTGGTAAAATTCACTTTATTTTTTTGAAACTGAATGCTTCTAAGAACATTTATATTTTAACATTGGAGATTTTGTGATTGCTGAACTTTTAAGTTATGTTTCTTAATTTTTTATTAATTGGAATATATTAATGTGATAATATTGATTGTTTAAATTTGGGAGATGAAACTTGATGAAACAATTAAAAAATTTAACATTAAATATTATAATTTTTTAAGGATTTGTTAATGTAAATTCATTTATTTTTATGAAGCTTTATTTTAATAGTATATTACTTCATTCATATTATAAATAAAATTTATTTTTTTAAAATTTATTAAATAATTAATATATCTAATCTATATATAAATTAGATATAATATTTATTCAATAAATATAAAAAGATGAAATTTATTTATAATATGAGATGGGGGACTACACATTTAAATATATTTAATCAATTATATATTTTTATGAAAGTCATTTTTAGCGACACACAACTTTTTTTAAATTAATATAAACTTAAATAGATCTCATAAAAACAACTAGATTAATAACAAATAAACATCTTTCTATTTATTTACTCCACCCGTCTCAAAATAAAAATCTATTAAAATTGTTACATACTTATTAAGATAAGAAAAATAATGATTAAATAATCAAATGTAACTTTTACAATATTATCTTTGTTGAAAATCAAATGTGAGAAAAAAAATCTCTTATAAGTGAGAGAACCCACACACCTATCACCTTAAAAATTTTATATGAATATATAGTGTGTCTCTCACAAAATGTGTGTCTCAAATAAAATGCTCTCTCAGATATACCCGTAACTATCATAAATTTTTGGTTTTAAGTGAAGAGACCGACTTATTTTTCTTCCGCTAAAGAGTTTCAACGATGATACAAATCTATATATGAAGGAAGCATTTTAAACTCATACTTAATATCCTTTAATATTTTCAAGTGTAAATAATAATTATTAAGAGATAAAATTGATAAAATTTAATTAAAAATATAAAAAAGTTCTTATTTTAAAACATTTATTTATTTATAAAAAAAAACATTTTTGTTTCATTCATGTATCTCACCTCTGTATAAATCAAATACGAACTACTCTTTACTAACATACAAACTCCATAATGACAGGCGGATTTTAGTAAGAGAATCTGCACACTGGAGTGTCAAACCTTAAAACAACAACAATGCAAACATTAATCACATTCTCTCCATTTCCAAACACACTCGTCAAATTCAGAACACAACCTTCCAAACCAAACCCTATTTCTCACCGAACTAAACCACATTCTCCCATTACACTATGCAATTTTCAACCTCAATCACCGTTAAACCCCTTCCCATTCCCATTGAAATCCCCCCAAAGCCGCGCTTCCAACGCGGATCCTCTTCGTTGTGGCATTTCGTCGAACGGGGAGAGCGCAAATGCGGGTGAGAGGAGTTTAAGGCAGTGGGTCGAGCTTACTGGTGAGGTGATATCCACGGCGTTTCCTTTGTGGGTCACGATTGGGTGTGTATTGGGTTTGGTGAGACCTAGTTCATTCAATTGGGTTACACCTAAATTGAGCATAGTGGGACTTAGTGTAATCATGCTTGGTATGGGTATGACTTTAACTCTTGATGATCTTCGTTCTGCTCTTTCTATGCCTAAAGAAGTTTTCTCTGGTTTTTTCCTTCAATATTCGGTTAGTTTCTTTGTAATTTTATACTGTTTATGTTGTTGTCCATTTCATTGTTTACTTTATTTTGATTACACAAATTGTATGTTGTTGTCTGTGTGATTTTTTGATTCTAAATGAGATATCAATTTTTGATATCAGTTGGATGGTTAATATAGTTTATATGTATATGGTTAATTATGTTTAGTTTAACAGATGGTTAATGGATATAAAAAGCTATGAAGCACGGTTATGTGATACGACACCGACACTAACACGTCGATACTGGTAATAATTTGAAAATAAATAAATTGAACGTAATCACAAGTGTCAGTGTTTGTTTGACACTGACATGGACGCTTACATGCCTTTTTTCAAATGTGTCAGTGCTATAGTGATAACAACGTATCCAACTCATCAATAGTCAACTAAACACAATTAACCAAAATTTTGGAACATCATTAACAACGATTTTTAGGTATATATTTGAACACAAATTGTGGTAATTGGATATCATCTATATTCAGAACAAAAGAAGATCATGAATATTTGAACTCGGAACACATTTTGGATAGTTAATGATTATCATGTATATTCGAACACTTGAAAATCATGGTTAATACACTTAAAATTGTGGTTATTTTGGATGCTTAATGATTTACAACACCTTATCATATTAATTAACCTTCCACTTAATGTAAGCCACTTATTTGAACTAGATTAACCATTGACATTGTTGTTGGGATTTGTGTGTTAACATATCATTTTTGTTTTAAAAATTTGTATGGGAAAACAATAAAGTGATTTTTCCCCTTCAAAGAGAAAACACAAGGATTTTTTGTGCAACAAATTAAGTTTAATGTCCATTTTCACCTTTGTGCATACACAATGCGAGGCATGAATGTGATATTTCTCAAGATTTTAGATTACGATTGCAGTCACATTGTGGGTTGCGATCCTGGATATTGTGAAGAATTGTGGATAGAACAGATGCAGTTATTGCTGATGTGACTGTGACCGCAAGGGTTCTAAAATGTTTGATGTTGCAGCCACAATTTATTTAAAACTTTGTATATTGTGATTCCAAACAGCATGTTACTTCACATGTTTTATATCATTCTAAATTGTTTATCTTGATGAGAACTTCTTTCTGACAATTTTCAGGTGATGCCATTATCTGCGTTTTTTATAAGCAAACTCTTAAATCTTCCATCACATTATGCAGCTGGTTTAATATTAGTTGGGTGCTGCCCAGGAGGTATGAATTTTAGTCTGCCCTTGACCGTGTAGATGGAGAATTTATGCTTTATGTCCATCTCTAACCTATTCTATGTAGTCTTTGTTTGGTTGCGAAACATTTGGTATTATGGAGATGATGCTTTATAATTTATGTCTATCTTTAACCTAATTTTTGTAGTCTTTGTTTGGTTGCAGGCACAGCTAGTAATATTGTTACATATCTTGCACGGTACATAAATGTTATTCCAGCTAATGTTTTATTATAGATTTGATGAGCACGGTAATCTGATGATCTATTTGTTTTGCTAGTGGAAATGTGGCGCTTTCCGTTGTAATGACAGCTGCAAGCACTCTATCAGCTGTGGTTAGTATATTACGATAATCATCTTAGTTCTATATTTTGTTTTCCAACCTGATGTACAATGTTGATGACAAAATATGGTGCTGAAAGGTCTGTCAAAACAGTGACTGTCTTTGTGTATTTTAGGAAGGTTTATATTTGTAGTAATTCTGTAACAATTGTATCTTGCTAATTATTAGGTTTATTTATTTAGGATCAATCCCATAATCAGAAGGATTTGTTTCCTTAGAACTGTCCATATTTCCTATACATGCATGCATGCATGCATGTCTTTAACCCTACATGATAAGTAATTTTGAGTAGTAGATAAGAAATTATTAAGAAAAGGGTAAAAAGAATCTTGGGGGAGGGGTTTGTGTGTCGAACTGAATTGTTATATTAGCAAGATTGAGTAGTACTTTTTTTGGTAAACAACTTGTCATTTGATTTGTTAATGTCTTAATATTGCAGATCATGACTCCTTTTTTGACAGCCAAACTAGCTGGTAAATATGTAGCTGTGGATGCAGCTGGCTTATTAATGTCGACATTGCAGGTTAGCGTTCCTTCTCAAATAGTATCTCTGTTTCTAATTTGTTGCAATGCTTCTTTGAGACTTTGACAATGTTACCCCTTCTCTCACAAAAAATAATCTGTCTCTACATTCTCTCTTATCAGGTTGTGCTTTTTCCTGTATTGGGTGGTGCACTTCTGAATCAGTATTTCCAACCTCTTGTTAAACTTGTATCTCCATTGATGCCACCCTTGGCTGTAGCAACTGTGGCAATTTTATGTGGAAATGCAATTTCACAGAGTTCTTCCGCAATCCTTATGTCTGGAAGACAGGTAATCTTAGCCGTCTGCCTTCTTCATGCTTCTGGTTTTTTCTTCGGATACCTTCTTGCCAGGATTCTCGGGCTAGATGTGCCATCATCGCGAACCATATCCATTGAAGTTGGCATGCAGGTAAAATTATTATTCTGTAATTACAATTTTAAGCATAGGCAGATTGGTAGTTAATACACCTTTACGTGGTCCTTTGTTCAATTCTGCAAAAACTTACCCGTTTCTTTAAACTCGATAATCTAGAACTCGGTTCTCGGTGTAGTTCTGGCTGCCAAGCACTTTGGAGACCCCCTAACAACAGTACCTTGTGCTGTTTCAAGTGTGTGTCACTCAATCTTTGGTAGCATCTTGGCAGGAATGTGGAGACGTTCTGTGCCTCCTGAGATAAAAGACTGAATATTGTTAGCTGAATAAGCTTTTGAGTGTCACTAGGATGCTTCATTGTTGTAACATTTGTGGTCACAAATAAGCTGTTTCTCGGTTGTCAAGGTTTTTCAATAATGTTATTTTCTAGTAAACGTCAAAAAAAAAAAAAGAAAGACCTAGACTAATTGCATGTTTGGATACGGCGTTTGAAGTGATGGGTATCCTACCGTGTAAAAGAAAAGCTACACAGTGTAACTTTTGGGCTATACTAGGGATGTCAATAGAGGTATAGAATATTTGGAGGATGTGTCTCCGTCTCCAATATTATTTTCCATCCCTGTTTCCAATTCTTGCCACAAGAGAATATTTCCCCAACACTCATCCCCATATATTTTCACGGAAATCAAATATTAAGAAAATTTTAATACTTTTCGATCAGAACAATGAAACTATTATTGTATTTTTTTTCCCTTTTAATACACATATTCCATCTTTCTTTTTTTCTTTTTAAAATAAAAATACATCTTATATTAATAAGAAAAAAACAAAAGTATTTATTGTTGCTAATATTTTTTTTGGAATTTTTTTTTAATAGAAATTATTGTTATCATGTTTCTTCTAATTTACTATTATAATATTGCTATTGTACGGTGCAATTGTTTGATTATTTGTGATTGTGGAAAATTCATAATGATTTATTTACTAATTGAATGAAAATATGTTACTAATAGGATTAAATTGAGTTTGAAGAGTAATTATCATAAGGAAAATTCATAAATGAGAGTTGTTGTTATGATGATAAGAATACAGGAGATGATGAATGGAGACAAAAATAATTGAGAAAATAAAAGAATGAGACGGTGTATACATTTTATGTATTAAGCGTATTTTTTTAGAGTTGGATACTTAAATACTAAAACAATATATTATATAATAAAATATAAAAATAAAATGATCTATTAATGATTCTTTCTTTTCTAATTCATTAATATTTTTTATGTAAAATTATATAATTATATAATATATAATATATAACATATAAAAGTTAAATAATATATTTAGATCGGAGAATTCAAGGGGTGAAAACTTTTCTCTCTATTTCCATCTCTGCGAGAGGAAAAATCTTCAACTTCAGTGTTCTAAACAGATAATCTCGAGAGATTCTATTAATAGATACAAATTAACATCTCTAGACTAGACACACGTTTGTGGGTTTTCCACCGTAAATCCAAACATAGCATAAGTATATATTTGGATGCTTGGTGGAGATTCTTCAATCATATAAATTTTTGTGACTTGGTTCTAAAATTGCATGTAGTAGTCATAGGAAATTAGATATTGTATTTTTTTTTTTTAGTATTAGTCAGGGATATCCTCTACATGCAACTGTAGAGACTAATTTATCGAATCTTGTAGGATCATATAAGAAGACCAACTCTCTCTCAAAAAATATTTAGACATTGAACTTTGTGTTGCGAGTTCTTAATCGGTTGAGTGATATTCTCGAGCTAATATTTATCCTCTTGGACTTAAACGAGTCAAGCTTTTAAGAAAAAAAACTAAAGTACGAGTGTAGCTACACTCGTACTTTAGTTTTTTTTCTTAAAAGCTACACTCGTATTTTAGGAATTGCTCAAATTAATCAAATCTATAAAATTTAGAATTTAAAAAATCATTTGATATTCTATTATATCAATTTATTTCAACATATAATAAGTAATTTAAAATATATGTAACTATCAACTACTAGAATTTACAAATATATAAATTATTTGAAATTTTATAGCCATAATGTTCATATTAATATTAAATAATTCAAAGGTTAAATAAATTAATCTGTATAAAGAATTATTGAAATATTAAATTTAACTTTTATTGTCAATCAATCTTAATCGCTCAGAAATTAAAATGAGACTCTTAAAACGGTGATGTTGATTTTCAGTAAGGTGGTACAAAATAGAAATGTAAGATTAATACTTCAATGTCAAAGTTATTTTAAAATTTAATATTAATGAAGTGAAAAAGTAGAGACCAGAAAAGTGTATATCAGAGACCAATATAATTTAATTAGCTCTTGTTTATATTGGACTTTTGACCGATTCAAAACAGTATCTTCCCAGACTTGTCAAGTGTTCTCGGGGTCTTTCAAAGTTGTCGGTGGATTCGTAAGTTAAGCCATGTTGAAAAAGCATGATTTGATTTGAGATCAATTAGATTTTAAAATCTTAATATGGTTCATGAATTAATTTCGACTTAAAAGTTCATTGTATTTCGAGATAAAACTGATTTAAAATTTCATCTTTCTTCGTGGTTAGCCTGATCAAAGATTTCGTTCGCGAGTTCAACTCAATTCAAAAGTTCACCTTGTGTTTAGATAAGTTCGTAGAAAATTCCGATTTAATTTAGGGACTAACCGCTTCAAATTGTTATTTGGAAAAAAAATACTAATAGTTTCAATCTGCCATTTAAATGAATAATAACTACTTCTCTCTACAAGTTCGTGTTTAGAAGGAAGAACAAACGCCTCTCTCCGTTATTCCCTGTTTGTTTGAAAGTTAGTCTGAAATTTTATTATTTCTTGTATAAAAGAGTTCGATAATTTAACATATTAAAAACTCTTAAGTATTACTAAATATTCTCAAGATCAAATTTTGAGGATAAATAAGTATTCTTAACTAAACTTGTATAAATTTATGGTATATTTTCTCTTTTTCTTAAATTTTATTTTTTGTATTTTTTACTTTCCATTGCTAATTTCTAAAAAAATTTCAAAATATTTTTAAACTCTGAAAATACTACAAGAGTTTTTCAAATCATAATTTTTATGAAATCTAAAATTTATCCCTCTTATATATGTGGAGTCACATATTTAATTGATTGAGCATATCGAAACCAGTAAAGAAGGATAATTTGAATAAAAAATAAAGCTAAGAGTCTAAAATTTATCCCTCTCATACGTGGAGTCACATATTTAATTGATTGAGCATATCGAAACGAGCAAAGAAGGATAATTTGAATAAAAAATAAAACTAAGAGTTGACTATTTTAACAAGTTGGCCGACCCTAAGTCAATTCAAAGCTTCTTTCCACAATAAACCAGTTTGCTGGTACAAATAATATGGTTGAATAATGTATGTTAGACTTTAATTCATCAACCTAACACATATTTAATTTCTCCACCGCTCGCCACACGTAATTTCCGTATACATATCCTATAAATAACATTAATCCATTGCTACAACAGTAACACACAGTCCTATATCCTCTTCAAAATATATACACACAACCATGTCAACAAGATTGATCAAAATCACAAGCCTTAGTCTCCTGTTATGGCTTTTCACGACCACAACAATTCTAGCACGATCTGAAAATGAACAAGTTCTTGACACAAAAGGCAAACCTCTTGAGAGTGGCAAAGAGTATTACATAAAACCAGCTATAACAGATAGTGGAGGCCGTTTCACTTTGATAGCAAGAAACAGTTCATGCCCTTTATATGTTGGTCAAGAAAACACAGATCTTGGAAAAGGGTTACCTGTTATTTTCACCCCTTTTGCAAAAGAAGATAAAGTTATTAAGGTGGAAAGAGATTTTAAGGTGAGATTTTCAGCTTCTTCAATTTGTGTACAATCCACTGAATGGACAGTGGCAGCGGACAGTATTAGTGGAAGGAGGCTTATTATAACGGGGACTGATCGTTATAACTATTTTAGAATCGCCAAGACTCAGTTTGGAGGTATATATAATATTGAGTTTTGTCCCTCTGTTTGTAGCACTTGTAGATTTGCTTGTGGTACTTTGGGTGGTTTGCGTGACAATGGCAACATTTTATCAGCTTTGGATGGTAATAAGCTCCCAGTTGAGTTTATAAAGGCATAATGTGTTTGTAGGGTAGGTTCTACACCATTGACTGATATATAAGAATCACTTAAAACACCAATCACTTTTGTTTCTGAGGTCAATATCAGTTATCATTGGTGTTTTGGACGATTTCAAAGTATCCTCTATATTGGATGTATAACTTACTTCTGTTTGTAGCTTCTATTTAAGGTTGTGTTTGTGATGTATACTTCTATCTTTGTTCTTGTATCAACTTGTTAAATAATTGGAGCTATCCATATTAATTAGTTAGAGGGTAGAAAGATGCATGTGTCTTTTTTTTCTCTTATGAGTTATAGAATTTAGCTCCAAAATGTTATGTGTGAGTCATTAGTTGTATTGTTTTGTAAGCAAAAATACTATTGCATAGACTAACCTTAGAGTGGTTGGCTATGAGTGTAGAAATGTTCGTTTTTTTTTTTGTAAGCAATGTAGAAATGTTCTTGTATGTGGTTGGCTATGAGTGTAGAAATATTCTTGTATGTATGGTTTGTAATGGTATTTACAATCAACAAGTTTTTCTAAATCTTACATTATATATTCCTATATTTATGTTTTTTTTCTGAATTTTTTATATATAAGTGATAAATTATATATTTTTGGTTTTTTTTTGTTTTTGAATATTAAGCTTGATTTGGACCAACCTTATTATTTGTATTTTGTTATTTTAGGCTTAGTTATTTTGGACTTAAGTAATTTGGGTAAGGTAGAATGTAGTGTTTGAAACGTCTAGATATTTCTTATGATTGTAATATTTTTTAGAATGAGATCTTTAGAGTTAAGAACTCTCTAGAATTAGTATGTCTAGAGTTCTCTTTGGAGTACTATAAAGATAGATGTATTCATACACTTTTATATCAAGCAAAAATACAAAGTCTTCTCTTCATAAAGAATTATCTTATCTATCAAGTTTCTATTCGAGGCTCTAATATTCCTAAACACTTTTTCTCAACACAAAGACGTTAATTCCAACAAAATGGTATCAGAGCTTCAAGGTTCTCAAAAGATGGCGAATGGAGGTTTCCCTTTTCAAATGTCGATGCTCACAAAGAACAACTATGATAATTGGAGTATCAAGATGAAGACGCTACTAAGAGTTCAAGATGTGTGGGATATCGTTAAGGAAGACTTCAAGGAGCAAGTTGAAGTTGTAAGTTCTCTAGTTTTAGGATTGACATTAATTTTTGTAAAATAAATAAAGCAACAATATGTTAGATAGGATATATATTAGTTTGCTAACATGAACAGGTTGAACAAGAAGTCTTATCTTATGTTTGGGCCATGTTGAGTTGAAGTGTTTCAACATCTGAAACAATATGTCGAATAAGATGTCATATGAAAGAGCATACGACATCGCGCCCGAGCTGAAGTGATTATGTTAAATCTGTTATGATTTAACAAGTGCAGAATATTCATGGAATATTATGCAATCCTATGTGACGCTGAATTAAAGGTCAAGAGAATAAAATTAGAATATCGAAGATTATACATTTTTAAATATGGAGATTATTTAGGAAACTAATGATTGAAGACCTTGTTTGTAGCAAAAGTTACTGCTGGTTTGTAATAACTGATTTGTTGTTATTAGAAAGCCCAAGTCTAGTTGGGAATATGTTATAAATAGAAGGGTTTGTAACCTAGCTTGACACGAGTTCAAGATGTAGAAATCTAAGGTATTATCAAGGTGAACCGCTTGGATTGTAGGATGGTCACCATGTTCTCACTCAGAAACCTGTAGGTAATGAGTTGAGTATTATTCTTGGAGGAAGCTTTGAAGAAACTCCAAGTTGTTGTTCTTGGTACGAGAAAGGTTTTAAACGCGAGAGTTTAACCTTAAGTTTTAGCTAGGTATGGTCATGGAAGTGTGTCTTCCGATTTGTTGATAATTGTGTTGATCTAATCGCTGTTTTTGATTGATGAGGGATTGATGAGGATCTCATATCTAGGTGAGTCTTAGATAGAAATCTAGCGAGGATAGTGATTAAGTGATAAGTTATAAATGCGGAATTTTAGCTTTGAATCGATACTACTATTAATGGATTTGTCCATGGCTTGGTATGCCCCCAGAGTAGGAGAGTTTCTCCGAATTGGGTTAATAATTCTGGTGTGTTGTTATTGCTTTTCAGTACTGTTTTTAATATTTATACCTTGCTTGTGCTATTTGTGTCAGATCAGATGCCTCGACATATTCTTAGGACATCTGAGTTATGTCATACCAGAACTTCAATTGGTATCACAGCAGGCATTCTGTTCTATTTTAGGTGAGATCCTGGGACGATACTTTTTGATCATGGGCAAGGAAGATATTACTGAAAAGCTATTTGAACTTGGAGAGTTCATATTGTTGTTTGAACGGTCCATAGAAGTGGAGGATGAACTGTTCATGACAGGAGGTGTATTGGACCTGTCTGTGTTGTTTTCAGGCCAGTAGCTTTGGAGAAGAGTTGTTGTATTAAGGGTTTGATTTATTTTCAAACTTAGGTTAACATGTTGCACCTGGTGTGTTTGTGAAAAAGTTCGTGTGTTGCCTGAATGTTGGTGAGGAGTCTTCTAGTTTGTGTCCTGCTGCATATATATCTGATGGAAGATTTCTGGTGGTTTTGTGTGTTGAGTTTGCAACACTCTATTCTCCTCTGAAGGTGTATCACATAGTGTGGTGCCACTTGAGGAGAGGTTCGAATAATTTGTTAGAGTTGCCAAAGATACTTGAGGTTTATCCCAAGTTCACTCATAAAGGCCCTCATGTATGAGTTTGTTAAAAAGAGATCTGGTAGAAGCAGTTTATTTTTGCTTCCAAACCTAAAAGGCCAATCTTCCGGCTTTGATAAAGGATCTCTTATTGTGTTCCTTGTGAAGGGAACTGATGTCCTACCAGATGTTGGAATATCATACCAGCAAATTATGTAGAATCTTGTTGGATAAAGGTAGGGCATAACAGATGCTCGGGGGCTAAACAAATGTAGTTTGATCACGTGTGTTTGGAACCTACTCCTGATCTAGAAGAGGAGGCATTTGTGTGTTATGTCTAAGAAGTTTCTATCTTATACATTGATAAGTGGTTTTTACACAGATATTTAGCTTTTATTTTAGTTATCATTTCTTTTATTTATCGAGTTTTTATTTTGTTTTATCGTATATTATGCTTTGGTTTTGTGTTTTAGTGCTTTCAGGTTCAAAAGAATAAAACGGAACAAATCGGGGCGGAAAAATGCATAATTTAAAGTTTCAAAGGATTGCTACATGAGACCTGACATGGGTGGCCGTGTCACCTGACACGAGCCGTGTCAGGAGGAAGACATGGAAAGCGTGGAAAACAGACCCTGACACGGGTTGTGTCAGGGGGAAGACTTGGACAACATGAAAAATAGGGGCTGACACAGGCGGCCGTGTCACCTAACACGGGTCGTGTCAGCATGCTTGAAGCATAAAAATTACCTGATGGTCAACACGAGAGACTGTGTCGCCTGACACGGGACGCGTTGACTAGTGACGCTGATTTTAAGTGCTTTTATGATGTTTCACTATTTGGGACCCAAATGGGAATTTTGGGCATTTCTGACTGAGACAAATAGATTGTTCACTATTTAGCCAAGTTTGAAAGAGGAATTAGGTGACTTTTTGCCGCACGACGAATTGAGGATTAAAGAGAGTAACGTATGAGATTCTTGGAGGACGAAGATTTTTCATGAGCCATAGTGATTGAAGATCAAAGTTCTTCATTTATCTGTAATGTTTAATCTTTATATCATTATAATTCTTTTGAACAATATGAGTAGCTAAACCCCCCAATGCTATGGGGTGACCCTAATTTGAATCTGTAATGATTATGAATTTCTGAGTTATTTAATAAAGTCTTCTCTATTTGATTTAATTGTATAATGTTTTTATGCCTTCCCGATCAAACAAATTAGGATTTATTTACGGTTAACAACCAGCTGGACCGTGGTTGTTAAGGTTTTTGTATAATTAGACTATAATAGATATCACCTAGGACTAGGGATACCCTATAGTTACCGGATTTAACCCCTGATAAAATAAAGGCTTGACTTCATCAGATATTTCTAAGGACTTAGGATTTAGGATGGATGGTTAAAGGTTTTCCCACTAAGGACTTAGGGGAAGATAATCTAAAGGGTTGGTAATTGAAGAATATGAACTTGTTGAAGAGATCATTATTCAAGATAATTACAGGGCAAATTATACACTTTATCCTAGTATGCGTCTCATATATGTGAAAAGCCATTTTATATTTATGCTTTTTGTTAAGTGACAATATCAAAACCAAAATCTAAAATTAAGTTTTTGTTTAATTGAACTACAAATTTTACTCAATAATTGCAAAAAGTCCTTGAGATCGATATCTTGGGAATTTCCCATTATTACTGTAAGACAAAAATAGTACACTTGCTATTTTTCCTATCAAGTTTTTGTGCCATTGCTCTGCAACTAAAATTCCTTTTATGTAATTTTTATGTTTTTGTTATTACTGATTTTTCCTAACCTTTGCATGCGAGGAAAATCCTCAGCTGAATTTCCTTTTGATATACAGACTCATGCTCGGAATCAAAACCAGGAACTATGGGTGAAAATCCACCACCACCAGAGAGACTTCTTAGGGATTATGGAGGAGCAAATGCTCCAGCAAGTCGGTTGACTATTGTGAATCAACCGGTCAATGTTGCAAATTTTCAACTGTATCCTTCAACCATCCTCTAGGTCGGGAATAGATCTTTCACCGAAAAGATCAATGAAGATGCCAATAAGCATTTGTAGAGATTCCTCATCACTAGTACTACTTTAAAGATTGAGGGGCACTCTGAAGAAGAAATTAAGGATGTTCTCGTTCACGCTATCTGAAGATGCTGGAAGTAGTTTTACTCATTGCCTGCTGGAAGCATCACCACTTGGGAACAGATGGAGAGGACTTTTCTTGATGAATACTTCCTGCTTTTATTTATATTCACAAAAGATATGATATTGTGAATTTTAAGCAGAAGGAAGGAGAGTCACTAGGTGATGTCTATAAGAAGTTCAAGAGGTTATTAGTAGCCTGTCCAACTCACAATATGGATTAAATTGAGCAAATGTAGATGTTTGTGAATGGCCTCAGAATAAAGACAAAGCAACTTATCGATACAGTTGTCGGTGGCTCATCCAACTTTGCAACAACCACTGATATTAAGAAGATCATTGAAGCCATTGCTGCAAATGAACACCTGGAATTTTATGACTGAAGTGTGAGTAAACTAGAGGGAGTGATTGACTTGAAACTTGCAAATCAAGGGGTGAAGATAGAAGATCAAATTATCGCTGAAGTTGAGAAAAAACTAAAGGCTATGAATTTAGGTACCCAAACTATAGCCCAAGTTCAACCTGCTCAGGTTGTCAGTTGTGAGATTTGTAAAGGACCACTCATTACTGTGCAATATCTTGCAACTCCATAACAAATTATGGGGATAAAATTCTTGAGGAAAAATAACACATATTCTAACACCTATAATCCTGGGTGGAAGAATCATTCTAACTTATCTTGGAAAGATCAACAACAACAAGCTCCTCAGAAGGCAGAGTGGGAGGTGGCTATTGAAAAGATGGCTGCCCACACCTCTCAATTTCAAGAAGAGACAATGAGTAATCATAGGAATACCACAACTGCAATAAAAAAATATGGAAGCTCAAATGGGACAGATTATACAATAGGTAGCACTATGAGCACAAGAAAATTAGAAAAATCATGAGAATGCTAATGGTGTCACAATAAGGAATGAGAAAACTGATGAAGAAAATAAAGATGAGGTAAAATTTGATGATAACATCATAGAAGTAGAGTTGGAAGTGAGAGAGAACAAGAAGAAATAGGAAGAAGGGGTATCACCGGTGAAACCAGTTGAAGAGAAGACTAAATTGGTAATTAAGTTGTTGTATCCCTCTCGAGTGGCAAAGAAGGACATAAAAGAGAAAGAGTTTGATAAATTTGTCCAATTTTTCAAAAAGCTAGAGATCAATATACCATTCTTTGAAGCACTCAAAAAAATGTTTTTGTATCATAAATTCATGAAGGATGTATTATCAAAGAAGAGATTAATATGAGAGGGATCGGTACCCTGTGATGAGAAATTGTGTATAATTGCACCCGAGAGGAAAATACATGTCAAGCAGAAGGATTCGGGGTTAGTTGCAATACCATGCACCATAAAAGACAAAACTTTCAAGAGGGTTATGGTTGATTTTGGATCTAGTGTGAGTTTAATGCCATTATCGATTTTCAAGAAGCTCGACATTGAGAAGATAAGCGAGAGTGGAACAAAATTGAAATTTGCAGATTACACCATCAAACAGTCATATGGGATAGCTGAATATGTATTAGTAGAAATTGACAATTTTGTTTTCCCAGTTGTTTTTTAGATCATGGACATGTCTGGAGATGAAGAGAATCATATTATTCTCGGTCGACCATTTATGCTGACTAGTCGCTGCAATTTTGATATCGAGACAAGTAATCTGACACTAAAATCTTTTGATGAGGAGATAACTTTGAAGGTGTTAGAGATCAAAAAGCAGGGTGCAGGTGAAAAGAGTCAAGCCTCATCTAGTATGATGAAATTAGCAAGAGACAACAACAGTTTAAAATCACCCCCAGAAAAGTCTCCAGCATAAGCTCTCAGGCGGCATCAACAAAAACTTCTAAGTTCAGTCCAGAAATCAAGAAGAGAAAGAAAAGGAACCTCAAAGGTGAGAAGACAGAAGTTGGAAGGGACTGGAAGTACAAAGTGGTCAATGCTTTTGATCTAGATGAGTTTTAGGTTGCGGAAAGGACAAACAACAAGGTGTGGAAGAGGAAGTATCCCCTATAAAGGGAAGAACTGTCAAGCCATGTGAAGTTAAACAAAGCGTTTCGTAGGAGGCAACCCACGCTTTTAATAACTTAGTTTTTATTTTTTGTTTGTTTGTAGTTAATAAAAAGAGAGCCTTATTGATGAGAGCTAAGAGGTAGCAGTTGTGTTGCATTTCCCTTTGTTAATCATCTTCCTCGAGTTTGTTCTGAAACATTTGGGTTAATGTTTAGTTTAAGTTTGGGTGGGTTTTTATTGCTTTTAGTTTCAAATTATTTGTTGGTTCTATGCTAATTTATGTGTAAATCCATGAGTTAAAGTCCTTCCTAAAATTTGTCGAATTTTTTTGTTTTGTTCAAGAACTTGTTTCTCATAGAGTTCGAGAACAATATATAGCTACAATGTCGGACCGCTTCAAATGTAAGGCTGATGCAATCTCTTCAGGTTGTGGATCTTTCTCCAAACTGGTGAAGGGCATTTGATCAAGAATAGGTACTCCCAATAGTTGAGAGAACTCTTCCAATGTGGGCACCAATTGATAATCGGGAAAGATGAAACAATGATGTACAAGATCAAAGAACTGAAAGAGCACACACAT